GTAGAATTGAACACTAAACATTTTCTATTATTTTGTTTTCTAGTTGTTCTGTCTTATGACTTTTTTTTATTATTCCACATAATCTCTGCTCATTTAAAAAAAATTTTAATTTAAATTCCAGTTAGTTCGTAGGGTAGTTCTATTTTTAACTTTTTGAAGAACCTTCATACTGTTTTCCAGAGTGGCTGTACCAGCTTGCATTCCCACCAACAGTGTAGGAGGGTTCCCTTTCTCTGCATCCTTGCCAACATCTGTTGTTTCCTGACTTGTTAATTTTAGCCATTCTGACCTGTGCGAAGTGGTATCTCATTGTGGAACTAGAGGGTATTATGCTAAGTGAAATAAGTCAATCAGAGAGAGACAATTATCATGTGATCTCACTCATATGTGGAATTTAAGAAACAAAACAGGATTGTAGGAGAAGGGAGGGAAAAATAAAACAAGACGAAATCGGAGAGGGAGACAAACTGTAAGAGACTCTTAATCAAGGGCACCTGGGTGGCTCAGTTGGTTGGGCAACTGCCTTTGGCTCAGGTCATGATCCTGGAGTCCCTGGATCAAGTCCCGCATCGGGCTCCTTGTTCGGTGGGGGGCCTGCTTCTCCTTCTGACCCTCCCCCCTCTCATGTTCTCTTTCTCCTTCTCTCTCTCAAATAAATAAATAAAATCTTAAAAAAAAAAGAGAGACTCTTAATCATAGGAAACAAACAGGGTTACTGGAGGGGGTGGGGTGAGGAGATAGGGTAATTGGGTGATGGGCATTAAGGAGGGCACATGATATAATGAGCACTGGGTATTATATAAGACTGATGAATCATTGAACTCTACCTCTGAAACTAATAATACATTATGTGTTAATTAATTGAATTCAAATTTAAAAAAGGATGCAAAAAATAAAAAAATGGTCAGACTGTCAAAAAATGAAATATATACCTACTCCTTTTATAGTTCTCAATATGCTAAATAAAGAATATATTTCTAAAAAAATTCCAGTTAGTTAATATACAGTGTAATAATAGTTTCAAGTGTGCAATATAGTGATTCAACACTTCCATACATCACCCCATGCTCATCACAGCAAGTGCACTCCTTAATATTCATCACCTATTTCATCCAGCCCCCTCCCTCCTCCCCTCTGGTAACCATATAATTAGAGTCTGTTCTCTATAGTTAAGAGTCTGTTTCTTGGTTTGCCTCTCTCTCTCTCTTTTTTCCTCTTTGCTTATTTGTTATGTTTCTTAAATTCCACATATGAGTGAAATCATATGGTACCTGTCTTTTTCTGACTGACTAAAAATATGGAACACTTCATGAATTTGCATGTCATCTTTGCACAAGGACCATGCTAATCTTCTCTGTATTGTTCCAATTTTAATATATGTGCTGCAGAGGTGAGCATGATCTCTGCTCATTTTGAACAAGAAAAGTAGGAATGAGAGATAAACCTGTCAGCATTTTTATACATATATGTATATGCATATCTATTTCTTCATAAAAATATTATTGTAAACTTAAAATTGATGATGGTGGCAGTTGGCAACTGTTTTGGTTAAATAAAACTAGAAATTTTCACAAATTAGATGAATGAGATAGTAGTTTTGGGATATTTGTCACGCATTATGGGGAGATCCTTTTGTTTTTAATCCATCTTTTATACCTTGTAGTTAGATACCAAAAGAATGAAGCATGCTTTTGAGGCTTGTGCTGTCCAACATGGTAGCCACTCAATGCATGTGGCTATTGAGCACTCACAATGTGGCTAGTCCAAGTTGAGATGTGCTATAATTGTTAAATACATTTTGGATTTTGAAAACTTAGTATAAAAAAATGTAAAACGTCTTAATAATTTTAAAGTATGGAATATGTGTTGAAATGATAACATTTAGAATATATTGGGTTAAGCAAAATAAATTATTAAATACATTTTACCTATTCCTTTTTACTTTTTAAAATGTGGCTACTAAAAACCTTGAAATTACATATGTGACTTATATTTCTATAACGGAGATTGCTTTTTAAGACCATTTTCCATCAGAGATCAATCAGCTAATCTTGTGTGGGGGTAATTCTCTTATATTCGATTTCTCAAGTAATATTTTGTTGATCAAAAACTACCACAGGTGCATCTAACACTAAATACAAATTCAGTTTCAATCAACTAAATTTTATTGAAAAAGTAATACAGATTTACGTTCAAAATTAAAATTAATAATGAGTAAGCATTGAAAACTACTACCTCTTCTCTCCCACCCACACAATTCTACTTCTTGGTGCCTTTCTGCAATCACCGTTACAGTTTTAATTACAAATAGGAGCGTGCTACCAAGCAGGCATTGGCAAACTTTTTCTAGAAAGGGCCAGAGAATAAATATTTTGGGTTTTGTGGGCTCTGCAACAACCACTCAACTTTGCATTATAACTCAAAAGCAGGCAGAGACCACATGTGAACAAATGAGCATGGCTGTGTTCCAGCAAAACTTTATTTGCAAAAACAGCCATAGGGCAGAATTTGACTTCTGAAGCGAGTGCTATTCATTAGAAATACAATAGCCTATCTTTAAACCTTTTGACTTATCTTTCTGCATCTATTCTTGTTTCTCTATACTGGGCTTTATGATTTTTTAAAAATGAATCTTGACTGTGTCATCCCCTTGCCTAATTCTTTGACTTCTTATCACTCATAGAATTAGGGACAAAGTTTATAAAGGACTATAAGGTCATCTATGTCTGCTGCTTGCTTGCTTGCTTATTTATTTATTTATTTATTTATTTAAGAGAGAGAGTGAGAGCACAAGCATGAGCAGGGGAGGAGGGGTAGAAGGAGAAGGAGAAGCAGACTTCCTGCTGAGCAGGGAGCCCAAAACAGGATTCAATCCCAGGACCCTGGGATCATGACCTGAGCCCAAGGCAGACACTTAACCAACTGAGCCACCCAGCTGCCTTTGTCTGCTGCTGTCACTGACTTTTCTTTCCCTCACCTTCTTTCTCTTTTAGCCATCCTGGACAGTCCTCAAATACTTGAAGACAGTGTGACCTTTTCCTCTTCAGAGATTTTTTTTTTCTTCTTTCTTTCTTTCTTTCTTTCTTTCTTTCTTTCTTTCTTTCTTTCTTTCTCTCTTTCTTTCTTTCTTTCTCTTTCTTTTGGTCTAGGGTGCTGTTCCCATCTCGTCTTACCTAGATATCTCTTGCTTATCACTTTAGGTGTCAACTTAAGTATCACTTTTCTGTTTCATTTAAGTCAATCTGCTTTATGTTCTTATATTGTGTTTGTACTTGGAAATGAAAATTCAAGTGTATTAAAAGTATGGTTTTCTTAGTGGCCTATACTGAGCTCAAGCAAGGCATTGGTCGTTTTCATTTGAAAGGTAACAACCTACTTGAAGGATCATCCTCTCAGCTTTTAATTCCTTAAACATTTGCCAGATGACCCATCTAGAAAGCACTGTTGTACACCCTGCAAGTGATAACAGATGAACAAGACATTGTCCCTTTCCTCAAGAAGCCACAATATAGTGGTGGAGACAGACTCGTGCACAGTTCACTATCATGCTAATCATAATGTGACAATTGCCTCTGTAGAAGTTCGAAAATGTGCTATGGGAGTGTAGAAAAGGAGTATCATCCTGAGTGTCATCATTGTGCCAGGTCTACAGATTAAAATCATCAGAGAAATACGATTATCATATGATCTCACTGATATGTGGAATTTAAGAAACAAAACAGAGGATCATAGGGGAAGAGAGGAAAATATAAAACAAGATGAAACCAGAGAGGGAGACAAACCATAAAAAACTCTTAATCATAGGAAATCAACTGAGGGTTACTGGAGGGGAGAGGGGTGGAGGGATGGGGTAACTGGGTGATGGACATTAAGAAGGGCAGTGATAGAAGGAGCACTGGGTATTATATAAGACTGATGAATCACTGAAATCTACCTATGAAACCAATAATACATTATATGTTAATTAATTAAGTTTAAATTTAAAATGTTAAAAAAAATCATAGTTGGAAAATGCTTTTGGAACTAGAATTATTTATAGACTTGGAATATGCTTGAGCCATAGAACTCCAACTGCACTCAACTGACTCAGCTTTCAGAAAGGGCCGGAGGAGCTACCTTGCCAGATAACCTGTGGAGTATTGACATCCCAGGAGCCAATTTGCCATGCTTGGTTTCAGAGAGGTATGGGGGAAAGACCCATGTTCAGGCTGGAATGTAATTAACGAGAACACCAAAATATTTATATAAAGAAATACTTATATCTTCACTGTTGCTTTGTTTTTCTGGATTAGTTTGGATGGTTCATAAGTGCAGATGTTTGTTGTCAGTGGGAGGGGAGCTCCAATCTAGCTGCACTCCTATAGCCCTGACAGTGCTGCTCTGGACTCACAGCTGGGCTGCTGGGAGCAGGGAGCTCCCTATGCAAGGAAGCGCTCTTACCCTTCATTGATGGTGTACTTATAGTGAGTACAAAGTGAAGTGTGAGATGTAGTTCGATTTTTTATTTTCACTTATTTAAATGTATGAGTCTTGGGTAATTTCTGGAGTTGGAATATATAAAATTAAGTAATGGAGTTTATGTAGCAGAGAGGGAAAGAGGAAAGTCAAGCGTACCTTCTTGATATCTGGCTTGAGCAAAGGGTAAAGAGTGATGCCATGTATGAGACCAGGGAACATGGGGGGAAGACAGGTCTGGGGTATTGGGGAAATCAGATGTTCATTTCTGGCTACGCACTTTTGCGAGGTCTGTAAATTTCCTGAATAGAGTGGTAGAGCAAGCAGGTAGGTCTAGGGGAGGTCAGGAGCCCCAGGGAATGCTCAGGGCCAGAGATACAGATTTGGAATCAGCTGCATGAACTGCCATGAGTTCATGTGTTAGGTGGTTATCATTATAGACTATTTATAAGGATATTTTTAATGGTGGAAACGCATCCAAGAAATTCTATTTTTAATGATGGAAATGCATCCAAGAAATTCTAAAGTTTTTTTTTTCTTTTCAGAAATAGTCCCAAGAGGTTTGAATTTAAAAGACAAATTCATAAAGCATTTCACAGGTAAGCACAAAATTTATCAGTGATTCAATTAAATAAAAAGATTGTATGCAAATTATTGTGTTAGGCATTAGGGATATGAAGGTTAAGTGTCCATAAGAAGTTCAACAGTCCAGCTAGGAAAGTGGACAAATGCCATTAACTTGTATTAATAGTAATATAAACCAGATCTTGGTAAATAATAGAAGTGTAAATATAGTTTTAGGGATGCACAGAAAGTGAATAATTTTGCCAAAAACTACCAGGAAAGGCTTGTAGTGGACATGATATTTAAGTTGGGCTCTAAGGGATGAATAGTATTTTCCTGGATAAGAGAAGCATTCTGGTCAGAAGGAATTCTTTGAGAACATGGTAGTTTGGGGGCAGGACAGGTAGATGGTGTGGATGCACTGTGGGGTAAATTTAGGTAAGGGTGTATGTGGCCACTGGATAAAAGTATGGCTGGAAATGTAGGTTGGAGTCATATTGTGAAGAATCCTAAAACTGAAGAACAGAAAGTGGGAACCAAGTATATTTATTTTTTATTCTTCACATCTACTTGGTTTGGTTTGTACAATTTTTATTTTTCTGTCTAGAGCTTTTCCCCTCTTAATTATTCTAAAGAGTTCTTCAGAAACTGAAGTTTCCATTATGTGAAATGGTGAGAATTGGTAATGAATTCAGATGATTTTTCACAGATTACAACTTACCGAGTCTCACAGAGCTAGGGTAAGGAGTCAGATAAGTTCTTTTAAGGGCATGGAAGGATGTTAAGTTACAGTTGTATTAGTTGCCTCCATAAAGTGCTAGCAAATTTGTTTGGAAAACACGCCGATATTTATCATAAACGTTCTTTTCCTGTCTAATAGGGCCAGTCACATTTTCAGCTGAATGTAGCAAACATTTCCATCGACTCTATCACAACACCAGGGATTGCTCAACACCAGCTTGTAAGTAGTTTAGATAGTTTGGGTTTTTTTCCTCATTAAAAAAAAAATCTTTACCCAACAATAAATGCATGTAATTTTAAACTTCAACTGTCTGCGGCTGGGAATAGACTAAACATTTTATGAGATTCTATTTATAACATTGACAGTACTTAACTGAAGACTTGTGTGTGCTGTTGAGAGTGCAAGGAATGGAACTGCATTGTAATTGGGACTATATCCAAATCTGAAAATAACCAGATTTCCTTAAGGACTGAAATGTTTGTTAGGATTTAAACCTTTTATCATTTTTCAAATTCCTTGGCATAAAGGGCTCTGTCATATAAATGAAAAAAAAACTAAGATGACCATGAAGAATACATCAAAATTTCCTCTTAAGTTATTTTAAAGTAAATAGTTTCATATCATTTATACAATGAGTGATCGATTGTTCTGAATAATGGTAGCGTAGTGCTTTAAAGGTGGCTCTAATGAATTCTTTTGGACACTTAAGTTACCAAAGTTAATAATTTCAAATGTAATATTTAAATGCTATCATCAAAACTGCCCAAATTGGGATCATGTGTGGTAACTCAGTTGGCTGTTTTTAAATTCCTTTCTAAATCTAAACTTCCCTTTTAAGGTAAATGGATTTTAAGCATTTTGTTTCTTTTTAACTAGATTGGTCATCTTGAAGCATGTTTAATTTTACTCAGGGTGTGGAATCAGAATTGTTTTAATTTTTTCAAAAACTGCTTGTGTTCAATGACTAAGGGAAATTAATCACACTGGAATCAAAGCAAACTGACTAAGTGGTAGCACAGCATAGTGGAGAAAGCTTACTCTTTGAACTCAAGCTACTCACTAGTTATGAGATTCTTGACATTTGGATGCTGGTTTTTCATCTCTGTCTCTAAAGTGAGGGAACAGTAACATCTATCTAATTGTGTTATGAGAATTAATGAGAAAACCCAGGTTAAGCATTTGTTGTGTTGGGTGCTTATTAAATCTTAGCTCTCATTATTAATTAGTGACAATAATAATACGGTTTTCCTATTTGTGGTAACTATATACATAATTTGACCTTAAATGTTTTTTCTAGATTACAAGAGATGTGCTAGATTGCTAACAAGATTAGCAGTGAGTCCCCTGTGCTCACAGACCTAGAAGATTTGCCTTATGAGTATGTATTTTTTTATTTTTCTTATTCTGTTTAATAAGTTAACTTTCTTAAGAAATTTTGAACTATTTAAAAAGCCAGGTAGCTGATTTTAGCAACACCTAATGAACTTAATCTGTGGATTTTTCACTTAGTGTTAAAGCTTGGTCTAAATGCATAGACTGCTTTATTGAATTAATTAAAAATGCCCTCAACAGTGATTAAATTAAGTAAAATAAACAGCTTTTTGGCAGCCTTACCAGTCCTGAGTGATTTTGAAAAATATTTCAACTTTTGGGGTTATATAATTATTGTGCAGAAACCTTATGCAGATAGACATTAGATGAACAAAACTAAAGCTCTACTTTTTTTTAACTGGTCAAAAGATATAATAAAAGTAGCTCTGCATTCTAAAATTTTTGTTTATGCAGGATACATAAACTAAAAGAGAGAAAGTATTGGAAGAGTAAAGGAAAAAGCAAGGGATCAAAAATATGATGAATATGTAATCATCATCAGCTCTCACATATACTTTGCCAGAATGAAATGGTAAGTCAGAATTTTCATTCTGGCTAAATTACCCTAGGAGCCCTAGGGCAATAAAGTATTTGGATAACCTAAAGAAATCTAATGAAAAATATAACATTTATTTGCAAAAGTAGACTCTATACAAGAGACTGAAAGATATTCTGCTCCCCCCCCCACCCCGAGATTTTTCTACTCAGTAGTTCTTTCCCAGGGCAGAACAAACCCAACACATTTTTGGGTCAGTGTTTCAGCACCACGGACAAATCCCTTTAAAGAAAGTTTTTCACAGCTTGTGAGAGTAGAAATGGAAGTCGTGGAATTTGTGTAGTATAGAAGTATCTACGAGTATCTCCATTTGGCCTATGTAACTTAACCTACTCCAAGTAATTGCATGGGAATTTACTTAACTCATCTCACAGATTCATTGTGCCAATTACTAAGACAACCCTGACTTCTTGTTGTTGCTATTTGTATTCTTATTTATTTATTTAAGATTTTATTTATTATTTGACACACAGAGAGAGAGACAGCGAGAGAAGGAATACAAGCGGGGGGCGGGGAGAGGGAGAAGCAGGCTCCTCGCAGAGCAGGGAGTCTGATGTGGGGCTCGATCCCAGGACCCTGGGACCATGACCTGAGCCGAAGGCAGCCGCTTAACAAATAAGCCACCCAGGGGCCCCTGTATTCTTACTTAAAAAGCAATTATAAATTAATAACAATAATTGGTACTTTTAATTCTGCATATTTACAGTTGCAAAATTTTAAAAATTCTCTCTCTTTTTTAAAGATTTATTTATTTTAGAGAGAGAGAGTGCAGCAGGAAAGGGCAGAGGGAGAGGGAGAGAGAGACTGAAAACAGATTCTGCACTGAGTATGGAGCCCAATTTGGGGCTGGATCTCACAAACCTTAGATCATGACCTGAGCCAAAACCGAGAGTTGGATGCCTAACCAATTGCACCACCCAGACTCCCCAAAAATTCTCTCTCTTATTTATTTATTTAGATTTTATTTATTTATTCATGAGAGAGAGAGAGAGAGGCAGAGGAAGAGGGAGAAGCAGGCTCCCCAAGGAGCAGGTAGCCTGATGTGGGACTCGATCCCAGGACTCTGGGATCATGACCTGAGAGTCAAAGGCAGACGCTTAACCGTCTGAGCCACCCAGGTGCCCCTCTTCTTTCTTTTTTTTTTTTTTTGATTAAGAGAAGATCATTTTAATGTTCAGTGGCAAAATATTTGAATTACCAACTCTCAGTCTATCTCAAACCTTTTGAATAATATAAAACATGAATAAATAAAGAAAATTCATTAGGCTATTGAAGTGATCTAAATCAAGACACATTTATCTTTCTTTGTTTTAATGTATTTTATGTGAACGAATAAATTTACATAAAGTCCAAAAACAACATAATAACTGCAAAAGTTCTCAAAAAACGAGTGCTATACTATAATTCCAAATATTGCATGTAAAGTTACATTCTCCTGGGACTAGATTCATAGAAGACAGAGCTGATAAATATTCCCCTTAGAAATTGCAGAGTAAGAGATTTAGTGATTTTCTCTATAGAAGTATCTGTCTCTAATTATTTATTTAGCAAGGTATTAGAAACACAGCATTATAGATTAATAAATTTTAAGTATATTTATAAGTTACTTAGGTGATGCCAAGTTCATTTTTTGGTTTATTTAGATATTATAAAACTTTAAAGGGGAAGTCATAATTTAAAGTGTCTAAAAGTACTGATTGACCCTTCTATCCCTCCACACACCCATTAGCTTATATTCTCAGGATTAGATTATAAACTGAGCCCACAGATTCTTTCAGCAAAATAAAATAAAATATAACTATATTAAAAATATGCATATTTTTAAGTACATTAAAAACCAGAATATAAATGACATTTTTCTTCTTCCCCCTGACAGACATTTCTTAAAAATGTAAATCTGATTTGAAGAAAAAAGTGCCTGGAATCATATTAACTGTACAAAGAGATGAAGCATCTAATTTTATGGTGTATTAAGATGAGTAAAATAAGAGACTTCTCAGAAATAACTGATTATTTGTGTCCTTTCATACAGATCAGTCTTTCTTGGTTTATCTTCGTGTACAGAGTAATTTGAAATTTTTTAAAAAACAAAGTTTAAATCACACAACGTATATAGAATATTAAAAAAGTATGATATTCTTTTATTTTTGCTAGATATATATTATTTTCTTTTTTTTTTTTTTAAAGATTTTAGTTATTTGTCAGAGAGAGCACAAGTAGGCAGAGCGGCAGGCAGAGGGAGAAGCAGACTCCCTGGGCGCCTGGGTGGCTCAGTTGGTTAAGCGACTGCCTTTGGCTCAGGTCACGATTCTGGAGTCCCGGGATCGAGTCCCACATCGGGCTCCCTGCTCGGCAGGGAGTCTGCTTCTCCCTCTGACCGTCTTTCCTCTCATGTGCTATCTCTCATTCTCTCTCTCTCAAATAAATAAATAAATCTTAAAAAAAAAAAAAAGAAGCAGACTCCCTGCTGAGCAGGGAGCTGACACAGGACTCGATCCCAGGACCCTGGGATCATGACCTGAGCCGAAGGCAGAGGCTTAACTGACTGACCCACCCAGGCACCTTAGATATATATTATTTTCTTACATGGTTAATGTTCTGTATGGGTATGGGTTAAATATATAATTATGTAAATTATGTCTGAGAGTGTCAGTGAGAAATGATTTTTGGTATATGATTTAAGTAATGTGCTTGTTGAATAATCATGTATGAAGTCCACTTTTGTAACCCTTTTTAATAATATTTAAATACATTTATTCAAAATTTGTCTTAATTGCACTAATTTGAAATATGAATTTTATTAAAACTGAAATATGAAAAATCTGTGTTGTTTTTCTTTGAATTGAATATATTTGTAGCAGAGGTTATACTATTGAGATATGATTATTATATATGTATATATGAATAAATACGTGTTTTTTAGACAGCTAACTAGTCTTCTGAGAAAATTCCTATCTTTTTGAAGTTTGAACATATGATAGTGCTGTCTTAGATAAAAAGAGAGAAATGTGTCATGGAGTTAGGAGAATATAGGCATTGCCTGGATGCTCTGTTTAGAATTTTTTTTTAAGTAATCTCTACACCCAGTGTAGAGTTCGAACTCATGACCCTGCAATCAAGAGTCTCATACTCTATTGACTAAGCCAACCAGGTGCTCTCTATTTAGAATTTAACAACATATCCTGATACGTTAAAATAGTTTCATGTAAAAACAACAATGAAAAAATGAGAAACCTACAATAAAATGATAGAAAACCCCATACTTTTATTTATTATTATTATTTTTTAAGATTTTATTTCTTTATTTGAGAGAGAGAGCATAAGAGGGGGTGGAGGGAAGGGGCAAAGGGAGAGAGAGAGAGGGACAAGCAGACTCCCTGCTGAGTGTAGGGCCCTATGTGGGGTTCCATCCCAGGACTCCAGGATCATGACCTGAGCCGAGGTCAGCCAATTAACTGACTGAGCGACCCAGGCACTGCCCCCCCATCTTTTTAAAGTAGATAAAACAGGGCATAGTCAGTACAGTCATTGACTTCACTCTATTCATTCCCACCATTTGTGTTGGTATCACAGATGCAAGTATGTCTGCACTAGCCAGTGCTTTTATTTTGCAGCACCTTTGGTCTCTCCCATAACTCCCATATCCTGTCCTGTCTATGTATGTAAACATACATACTCCTTTATCCATCAGAAAAACAAGCTCAAAAATGCCCTTTGGCTTCAGGAATAGTGTGAAACTAGATTTTCAATTTTTAGTTTTATTTATTTTGCTTATGAGCAAAGACAAATAATTATGTTTAAAAAAACATGGGAGGAGGCAGAATGGAATTTTGCAGTAATGCTATGTAATAAAGAATGAGAAGAGTACCATATTTTTAGTTCATTGCACTTATAGTAATTATAATCTTTACAACATTTGGAAAAATGAAGTAGTTTTTGCTCATAACCATCTAAGAGCTGGAGTGCTATTTTTATAAAAGGGAAGAGGCTATTGAATAATGGCAAGTAAGAACTTAATGGTGAGACATGTGTGGCTGAAATAAAGAAAATAGCCAAAAGGGACTTCATGATTAGTATGGTTTCAATAAGATAAATTATTTCAGATGGAGTTCTATGAAATTAGATTTTAAGCATTCCCACAGATGACTACTGTGCCTCAGAAATGTATTCTATGCCATATATATACACACACACATATATATATATTTAAAGCCTACAGGGATTGATTAAAAATATCTCCAGTTAAAAAGATGTTTATTTTATTGCTTGATACTCATTTTCTCATTATATTAAACTCAACAGGGAGAGCTTGAGAGAGTAATGAATAAAAAGACCCTTAATTTATCTCCATAGAGAAAATTTTCTCACATGGGGAAATAAGTGATTGAAAGATGAATAGGATAAGATACTCATGGTTACTTAGTAACAAAGCAAC